CTGTTTGTCCAGCTGGGACCACTCTACTTGGCATACAGGGTTAACGTATGTTGAGTGGGAAGTGTCCCTGCTCCCAGAGACTGGTCTGCCCTTTCAAGGCCTGCTGATGAGCCAGGTTGGTTGTGCTGTACCCTGGTATATTGTGGGACAAACTGGCTGATGATCTGGACCACCAAAACCGCCACAGGATTGGTTTGATTCTGATATTTTGTTGCCAAACACGTCATCACGCAGTCAGTTTAACAATAACAACAACAAGATTACATTTGTATAGTGTCTTTTACGTCAAGAGGACGTCCCAAGGCGCTGGACAGAATACAGCATTTCAGACCCGAGCTGGGGTCAGGGGGGAGAAGGGAGGGGAGGGGAAGGGGGGTGACCAAATGGCATGGTTGAAGAGGTAGGTTTTGAGGCTAAGGAGGTAGCAAGACAGAGTGATTGGGGGATAGAGTTCCAGAAATTGGGGGCAGAGTGGCTGAAGGCTCTCCCGCCAATGGTGGGGCGGGTGGGTCGGGGGACGTGGAGCAGGCCGGAAACGACTGAGCGGAGGGAGCGGGTGGGTTGGTAGGGGGTTAGGAGGTCCCAGAGATTGGGTGGGGTGAGACCATTGAGGGCTTTGTAGGTGAGGACCAGGAGTTTGAACTGGATCCTCTGAAGGATAGGGAGCCAATGGAGTCGGGCGAGAATGGGGGAGATGGGGTCATGAGTTTCGTGCGGGAGAGGAGACGGGCTGCAGAGTTCTGGATTATCTGCAGCCTGTGGAGGGAGGAGTTGGGAAGGCCGACAAGCAGGGCATTTGAATAGTCGAGCCTGGAGGTGATGAAGGCATGAACAAGAGCTTCAGCTGCCTGAGGGGTGAGGTAGTGGTGGAGTTGGGCGATGTTACAGAGGTGAGGGAAGGCAGAGTGGGTCATGGGTTGGATGTGGGGAAGAAAAGACAGTTGAGGGTTGAACAAGACACCTAGGTTCCTGACTGGCTTGGTGAGTTGAAGTGTGCAAACATGGAGGTTGATGCTGCCAAAGCCTGTGGTGCTGAGGCGCTGGCGCGAGCCAATCAGGAGGGCCTCAGTCTTGTTCACATTCAACTGTAGGAAGTTTGCCCTCATCCAGGACTTGATGGCCGACAGACAGTCTGTCAGGACAGCAGTGGCCCTGGAGTTGAGGGTGGAGGCAGAAAGATAGAGTTAGGTGTCATCCACATACATATGGAAGTTCAGCTCCAAGGTGATCCTGCTTAACTTCCACCACTACACCCCACCGCCCCCCACTACCATGGATGATTATCACTAGTTGGTCATTTGACATCCACCTAGTGAGGATTTGAGCAGATAGCAGGAACTCCCTCCAATATGTTTCAGAAAGCGTAAATGAAAGTTCTCATAACCTATAGTGATACGAATTCCCTGCAAGTACCCTGAGTCAGAGCAGAGGTCAGTGACTCTGTACATAAATTGAATGTTGAAATTGATGTCTTTTGGGAAAGCGTGAATGAAGGTTTTCATAACATATAGTAATAAAGAAGAACACATCGATTTCCTATGATTTTACCCAGGGGTTGGCAAAATATGGCCTGTGGGCCATATCCGGCCACCAAATGATTCTATTTGGCCCGTCATTGTATCTAGCAATAGAAAAAATTATAGTTTGGAGAGGAGGGAGGGAGAGGAGGGAGGGAGGGAGGGAGGGCGCACGCACACACACACACACGCACGCACGCACGCACACGAGAGGCGCTGCAACAAAAGAAGAGAGGAGAGAGAAGGGGGGGGAAAAAAAATCAACATCTTTGTCTCCGCAAACTTAACGCATGCAGTCAATCCACTTTACAGCGTGCGCTGTGAGGCGCTGTGGAGGCGTCTCGGAGGCGCAATAAGGTGCTTTATCAAATGCAAGGATTATGGTGATGATGATGATGGTGATGATGGTGGTGATGATGATGATGATGATGAATGCACAGTCTCCAGATAAACAGTAAATACACTTCACTCCAAACACACTCACCAGAGCCTCTCTCTCTCTCTCTCTGTGTGTGTGTCTCTCAGGGTCCTGTATCTCCTGCTCCTCTCCCTCTTGTTGTGCAGTATGAATATATATATATATATATATATTTGTTGCGGGTCAATAATTTGTCACCAAAACTCTCGGGCTCTTGTCGTGTCTCCGCGGCTTCCCCGAGCACTCAGCCATCCTCCAGGCGGGACCTTCCACACACACACACACACACACAACAACATATAATGTTCGGCTTTAGTAAAACATAATGTTATAATATTCCTCTCTCTCTCTCTCTCTCTCGTTGTGTTTACCCTCCTCTCCTCCTCCTGTTTTGTTTCAGTCCAGTCCCCCCCCCCCCCCGGGGCTGTGTGTGAGAGAGAGAGACACACACACACAGAGCGCCTCACACCGACACTGAGGCCTAGAGAACAGCGACACCGCACAGTGAGCCCCGGGTTTGTCTCTCTGTGTTCATACTCTGTCGCTTCCTCATTTCTTGCTTCTCCCCTCCTCCTCCCTCACCCCCTCCTCCTCCCTCACCCTCCTCCTCCCTCACCCCTCCTCACCCCTCCCTCCCCCCCCTCCTCCCCCCTCCTCCTCCCTCCCCCTCCCTCACCCCCTCCTCCTCCTCCTCCTCCCTCACCCCCTCCTCCTCTCCCTCCTCCCCCTCCCCCTCCTCTCCCCCCTCCTCCTCCTCCCTCCCTCCTCCTCCCTCACCCCCTCCTCCTCCCTCACCCCCTCCTCCCTCACCCCTCCTCACCTCCTCCCCCCTCCTCCCCCTCACCCCCTCCTCCCTCCCTCACCCCCTCTCCTCCTCCTCCTCCTCACCCCCTCCTCCCTCCCTCAACCCCTCCTCCTCCCTCCCCACCCCTCCTCTCCTCCCTCACCCCTCCTCACCCCTCCTCACCCCCTCCCCTCCTACCCCTCCTCCTCCTCCTCCCTCCCTCCCCCCTCCCTCCTCCCCTCCTCCTCTCCTCCTCCTCCTCCTCACCCTCCTCCTCTCCTCCTCTCCCTC